TTTTATGTTTTGGTACCTTGGTAAATACAAAGGAAAACCATATTTGAATATTTAATCTTTACATACATTTTAACTCCTTCATCTTTATATATAATAAAAAGGGTTTTTTCTAGTATATTACTAAAACATGATCATAGAAAAATTATGATTAATTAGTTACCATAGCCACTGTACAAATCTTACCACAGCTGCTGCAATGTGAAATAGAACATCAATGTACTTTGTACTTACCACAACTACTCCGAGAATACCACTTTGGTTGATGTGTATCAAAACTCATATTTTTGTCAACTACTTTTATTTTTTAGGCATAATTTCTGATAGAAGTTTATAAATTAATTGAGTTTGGAGTCTGGACAGAAATCTAAAATCTATTTTTTTGAACTTGAACCATTTTTAAATTTATTTTCCTTAATTTGTATTTTCTTCAAACTTTCCCTCTATTTTTCTCGATATATTCTTTACCCATATTTTTCTGGCTCCAAACAAACCCTAGACTGCACTAAATCTGGTTAATTACTATACTGTTAGTGTAACCTTTTTTGCTGCATCAAGCAGGTACTCAAGGGATTGTGGTATCTTCATAATGAAAAACATGTCATTCACAGGGACTTGAAGCCTTCAAATTTGCTTATGAATCACAGAGGGGATGTTAAGATAACCGATTTTGGCGTTAGTGCAGTACTAGCGAGCACATCCAGTGCCGCTAATACCTTTGTCGGCACGTACAATTATATGTCTGTGAGTATAGCTGGTCGAGTGTGCATATGCGCACTTTTTTTTGCAAGCATTGATCTTATTTGTGAATGAAATGCAAGCTGTGATTTGATAGAATATATAATTGAGTTGGGATCACTCATTTAGGTCCGGTTATATGCAAAAAAAAAACTAAAAGATTGAATCTATATGATTAGCCGACCCCAAATTCTTTTGGGATTAAGGCTTGGATGTTGTTGCGGCCTTGTATGTTGGTTTGTATATTTACATGTGGCTGGTATGAGATGACTTAAGTTATCGTGCAAGATGGTGGTTCATTGGAGTAGACTAATCTTAAAATCTGTGAACTCGTTCCTGAGGCTTACCAAATAGGATTATAATATTAAGACCTGAGATTATATCTTAAAAGCTTAACCACTTAACCAAATACAATGAGTAACATAAAGCCTTACATGTTAATTTCTACTCTTATATTTGGATGGTATGGTATTGTTTAATACTTTCCACTAAGTTTCCTCTAATATTTTGATGTTGTAACCTGTTATGACACAGCCAGAGAGAATTGCTGGAAGCAGCCACGGGTATAGCAGTGACATATGGAGTCTAGGGTTGGTTTTGCTCGAGTGTGCAACAGGCAATTTCCCATATCGCCCACCCCAACCGGAGGAAGGATGGGATAATGTTTATGATCTTATGGAAACTATAGTTGATCAACCAGAGCCTCGTGCGCCTTCTGACCAGTTCTCACCAGAGTTCTGCTCATTTATCTCTTCATGGTATGTGCTAACTTTTTCATGGGAATAGATGGTAGTTTCCCACTTACATTATGCTTGGGGACTTCCTAACGGAGGAAGACAAGACAATGAAAATAACTGTATCATCGCCTCTTGTGCTTGGGTTGAGGTAAAAAAAAGAGGATGCGAATGAAAGTAAATAGCTTTGTGCTTTATTATTTGAATGATTGATTTTGGAGGGAAATATATCTTATACATTTACTAATTTAACCTTCATAAGACAAACAAAAGAACTCAAAAATTTTAAAAGTTGGATAAAAGGTAATTTTTTTAGTTTTTTACTGAACAATGCATTTTCCTTCCATTTTAGGGAGAAAGAGGAGGATGGGAAATAGGGTATAATTTCCTCTACATCCTCGTTTTCCCTTCAGCCGTAAATCGTGATCTGTTCATGGGTCTGCTTTTCTTTTTTTGCATCCTGGGATCTCCTGTAGTCTAACCAATCATTGATCTGATAACTATCAAATTTAGTTAATCTGAACATACACTTCTCAATCACATTCATTTCTTTATTTAATTTTGTTAACAGCCTAAGAATTTCGATTGGCATAATCAAGCCAATCATATGCAAGTCTCCTTTGATCTTAGGAACACATTTAGGATCACAGAGTATTCCTGCCTTTATAGCAGCAGTCTTAGACTCTTAGTAATAGATAGTTAGATACCTACCCTAAAAAAGAAAAGAGAAATAAGAAGGAAAGAAACAAAATGATTTGTTTCAAAGATGTTCGTCCTGAGGAAGAGTCAAATGTAATAAAAATGGAGCTCATATTTCGTGTCATTTGCCAAAAAAAGTTGTAAAACATGTAATATGATTAATTTTAGTTCAATATAAAATTTTATAATTATGAGTGAATTTTTATGACTTTTAAGTCATACATTGAGTCTCTGGCAATTAATTAAAAGTTGTACCTTGACCAAACATGAGACTTTTCTAGATTGAGTGGTATATCTTATTAACAAATGACTTTCTTGGTTTGGGTGATGATTGTTCATAATCTTACAGTTGTTGTGACTTAATATAGTGTGCAGAAGGACCCTAAGAAAAGACTCTCTGCAAATGAATTAATGGTACTGAAACTACTTTGTCTTTGCTCCCAAAAGCTGATTTGCGTGCATTGATTTGTCTTGACCTGTAGTGACTAAGTGCATTGCCACTATACGCAGAGTCACCCTTTCATCCATATGTATGACAATCTGGGTATAGATCTTGCATCTTACTTCACAGCTGTTGGACCTCGACTAGCTTCGTTTGAGATATAATCGGTATGTTACATTGCTTCACTTCGATTGAGATATAATCGGTACTTGTAAAATCGCCAAGACAAGTCTATACATTCATATAATAATTTGGCAAGCGTTAAATTAGCGAAACAAGAATCAATCCTCCACTCCCCTCCAAAATCCCCAAACCAAACTGGATCTTACATTCTAGACACCTAGTTGCTAGTGCCTTTCATTTGTAATGATATTTTGCAAATCCCACTAAGGTAGTAAGGTTTATGAAATGGCTCGGCTAGTGCATCCCTTTAATATTGGTGAGAGAGTGGAGGGTTGATTCTTGTAATACTTTTTCAGTGACACTTTGGTCTTTAAACCTTTTGGTTGAATATTCAGGCAGGCATACTTGTTGAAGCTTGTGTGAAGTGTCTCTTGACATGGCCACATAGCGTTTTTAGGCATCCAGTTGCAACATATCAACACGAAGATATATGAGAAACATTTTTAGTTTGCTACATGAAAAACATTGAGTGAGATATGAATTTTTAAAAAATAACCATGGATGTAATTGTGCCCATTCTTTGATTAAGAAAGATGTAGACACCGCTAAACCAGAATTCCATTTCTTCTCTTGTACCACTGTATGTTTGTTTCTTAGTATTAATCTATGTCCTTATTTCCTGCCAAATGGTAACCATCTGCTCTTTATGCAAGGGCAATTTGTTAAAAGAACATGTAGTCTGCCAGAACTGTTCCTTGGCAGCCTTCAAGAAATTGCTTGTGAGAATCCATCATAGAAACACCCAACCATGTGCATATACTTGATACTCTATGAGATTGCACTAACAATGCGTTATAAGAACTTCAAAAATGCTGACAATGAATTTGAAACATGATGCATAAAAGATATAGCACCAAGTATGCATATGTTGGACCCCCCCCCCCCCACAAGCCCCTCTAAGATTTCACTAGTGTTCGTCACAGTCTGATGTTCCGACCATCTCGTTTCCAGAAATTGTACATTCAAGTGCTACGAAAGACCAATTTAGTGAATAGTACGAATTGCATTGTGATTCAGAAGAGAAGGGGGTTAGCAATTCCTCGATTTCCCTCAGTAAAAGATCTTGCAAGTTACTTTTCTTGGCGCCAAAATAGGGCGTACAGGTCCTTCGGCTTGGAGTGTAACCCTTACTCTTTTTGCAAAAGAAATGGTATGTAGAATGGTTAGAAGGTAGGAACTAGCTAGGAACTACTCCATCATTGAGATGGTCATAGCACAAATCAAGTAAAGCATGTAACATATAAATGCACAAGTTGGGGAAAATGATTTAATTACTTCATCATAAGTGCCTGCCGAAATATGCAAATCAAAAGTACCATATAAAACGAGATCGGTGGGTTTAGGAATTAGGAGGCAACTGACCGTATGCTCTTTGATTCTGTCCCAGCCCCAACGGACAAATTACGTAAGTGAAAATTTATGGTTGTGCAATCTGACAATCTCACGTGGATAATTTGCATTGTCCATTTTTCTCTTGATAGGGAATGTACTAATGTAAGATATTTTCTTTTGGACCGAAATTTACTGGTCTAGTCTGGTCTGGTCTGTTTAAGTCTGGTCTGAAATGGTCTGGTCTGGTAAACGTCTGCCCGTCTGGTCTGGTAAACGTCTGCCCGTCTGGTCTCTGTGTATTTTATAACTACGGAAGTTTGGTCTGGTCTGGCCTGGGACTGAAAACAGTCCAAAAGAAAACATACGTAGTGTGCAAAGTGGGCTATGGTTGATTCATAACGTATGTACTTCATCATCGAGGCAATCCTTAAATCGAACAAACAATTAGATGGAGTGTCAAATTTAATTATAAAGATCAAATGATTAATAGAGTTTTTAGTTTACACTATGGGGTGTTTATTTTGTGACGTTTTCCGCCCAAAACGCGTTTACACTACAATGTTTTCACCCCAGACGACAATAATCAAACATCACCTATATACTGGCACAATCTCTTTAGCAACTTAATCATTACTTTATACATCTCTCAAACAAATTTATATATCTCTCAAACAAATAAAGTAATTTACTTTATCTGTCTCTCAGTTATCTTTCAGTTTCTATTTTCTTTTGTTCTAAAATATTTTTTCGCTTTTATACGAATAATTTGTGATTCATACCATTTATCACAAATTTGTACACATTTCACTCATATCTACATCTCTCCACCTTGCAATTTCAACTTTCTTGATTTCCGTACAATTTAGAGAAGGGACAAAAGGAGTATAAAAACCTAAAAATTTGTTTTCAAACTTGTTTGATTGCTTATGGATTGAACTTGTTTGGCCAAAAAAATGCCTTTATTGTAACTATTTCAACTTACAACTTTATAAGTAGCAAAAGAATTCTATTACATGAATCACTTCGAATAATTAGCAACTCAAAAATCAATATCTAAATTAAGATGATAAAGAATTGTGAAGTTTAGGATGGAAGCAATGTTGTGAGCAAAAAGAATCTATACAATGTGATGCAGAAGCTTGTGAGCAATTTGATCACGTGCGTGCATCGCGTTTGCCGATAGAATTGGAATCTCCGGGACAACCTCGTCGTCGTAGAGATCGAACCTTAACTCCGGCCGCAGTTCATCTTCCCCTCTCATCTCGCAGATGTTATGCAGAACGCAGCACGCCCCCAGAATCACCGGCAGGTCTTGCAGCTTCACCTCCGTCCTCCTCTGGAGGCAGCTCCACCGCGCCTTCAGCCGCATAAACGCCTCCTTCGCCACCGCCTGCGCGCCGGAGATCTTCTCGTTGAATCCGTGCTGCGCCCATGTCAGGTTCTGGTGAGTGTAGGGAACTAGAGTCCAGTCCGTCAGTGGGTGCCCTGAATTTCCGGCGACCCAGAGATCCTTCAGCAGACCCTTCTTTGCCCGGTCGAAAATCGCAGATTTCTGGAGGATTTTGTCGTCGGTCATTGATCCCGGCCAGCCGATGCAGACGTCGGTGAAGATTCCGGTGGAGTCGACCACGCCTTGGACTGTCACGGTGTAAGACGTCTTGTGATTTCTCTCCGTGTGACGCTTGTTGAAGTAGTCGGCGGCGGAGAGCTTCGGGGAGACGATGGGGATGTGCGTGGTGTACAATGCTCCGGCGACGTTTGGGATTCCGGTGAGGTGCTCGAACCGGCGTTTGATGTTGTCCATGCTCTGTTCTTCCGGCCATTGGAGGAATTTGGGCATGAGAACGGTCCTTATTGCGGCGGAGACTTCCAGAACGAGCTTGTGGCAGGTGGAGATTCCCAGCCCGAACCGCTTCGAGACCTCCCGGAGCGGTTCACCGGTGGCGAGCCGCCAGATACAAACCGCGACCCGGTGGCGGACCGGAATCGCGAGGCGGAGCGTCGTGTCCTTCTTCGTCACCGCCGGCTCCAGCTCGTCACAGATGAATTCGAAAGTCGCTCTGCTCATCCGGAACGCACTCTTGAACTCGTCCTCCGGGAAGTCCGGGCTGTTGCACCGCTCCCACCACGCGCTGGACCGCTGCTTCACCCACAGCCTCCTCTGGCTCTGCGGCGGCGTTCCGCCGCCGCCCTCCCCAGAAGTGCTGGCGGCCTCGGCGGACCCACTGCGGCCGCGCTTTCCATTTCCAGTCACCGTTTCCGCAATGAAACCCTGCCGGGACGATGAAATATCACTGGGAACCACAAAATCATCATCTGGGTACGCCGGAATTCGCTCTGTCTTGGTCATTTCTTGATCGGAGAACATTAAACAGTCAGACATCTCCTCTATTAGATGATTTGGATCATGGGTTTTCAGCTTCTTGGAGACGGGGCTGTCTGGAAAGTCAAAATCTTGGAAGAAGCTGAGCGGATTAAAGGAGAAGAAGTCGTCGGAGACTGAGAGTGGGAAAGCAGAGATTTCCATCAATTAATGAGTCCAAACCTGGTCTGCGGATGTCTTTAATCAATCAGTGGAGCTTGAAAAGGTATGGAATTTTGATTAATGGAGGCGTTTGAATGTGAACACAGGAATCGGGAGGACACATATATACGGTGGGGGTGAGGCCCGCCACGCGGTAAGGGCGGAAGCGCGTCGGAAGTTGACACGGTGTCGCGTGGGGGTCTGACTAAGATTACGCGGGCGGAGAGTCAAACAAACGGTTTGCTGGGCCAGAGGGGAGAATACGGACAGCCACGTTTCCAATGTGATGTGAGGAAGAAGAGTACTAGAAATTTCGAGCCAGGATGATGATTGGAATACGGTGGGTCCGGCTTCATTCTTTGATACTCCCTCCGTAACATTCATATCTTCTCACTTTCCTTTTTTGGATGTAACATTTATATCTTCCCATTTCTAAATCTTCCCGTCATACCCTCAATAATTTAAAAAATAATACACTACTACACCTACTTTTTTTTGGATTTATCCTACATTCCATCACATTATTTCACCATCTTCCCATCATACCCTCAATAATTCATACCCCATTTCACTATTCTTAATCTCACCCACTTTAGAAGTGGGAAGATATATGTGATACGGAGGGAGTAAAATTTAAAAAAAAAGGAAAATGATGTTTGTACACACTTTTATACCCACTTCTGTACCCACCCATGTTTGTGAAATTATTATTTTTTGTCTGTGAATTTTTTCACAAACAAAATATGTCTGTGAAGGAATTCAAAGACATATTTTGCCTGTGAACCGGCTTCACAGACAAAAAAATAGTCTTCACAGAAGTGGGTATAAGGTGGGTACAAAGTGGTGGGTACAACAAGCATGGTTGAAAAAAAAAGGCTAGGAAGAGCGACCAAATGGACCATTTTATTATGAGAAAATTTCTAAAATTGGAATTCAGTAAAAGCAAAATTGCAATACGGACTAATAGGAGCTTAATGTTTACACATCTCATAGAGAATATCCTCGCAAATTTCATAGAAAAATTCCACTTGAAAGCATTTCAAGTGGAATCCTTCACGTGACGGTTCTAGTTAGAAACTCTTTTATAAACAACTATCAATACATATATACTACATACAGAGTATATTTTTATAAAAAGTGGACTTAATATTTTTGAAGGCCCTATGCAGAGGCACTGTTACCACAACCCCATCTACAACCATGTTTGTGCAGTAAAATATTTATCGTCACTTTCTCCAGAAATGGACGCTACTTTTTTAGGGAGTTGTGTGTGAGTGGTCTTTATAGAGGTGGTCGAAAGTGTTGGTCCCATGTCACATTTTAGAGATAAAAAATGTGAGTGTTGGAGATAAAAAAAATACCATCACATTTTAAATTAATGATGTATCAAAATTTTACAATATCAAATAAGAGCATTAGAGATGCTCTTAAGATAGGTGGAACGAGGGCATCACTTATTACTTTGAGTATCAATCGACTCACATAGAGCATCTCTAATGCTATTATATGCACGGTGCACATGTGGCATGAGAGATAACCACATAAATATTAGTAAATAAATTATCTTTCTCCTTATTTGAATGATTTTATAAATTTTTGTTAAGTTTTTCTCCACAATGTCAACAAGGCCGTATAGATATTGACATTATGGTTGACATTGCAGAGACAAACTTACCAAAAATGTATAAAATCATTTAATTAAGGAGTTTGATAATTTATTTGCTATGATTTATGTGGTCATCTCTCATGCCACATGTGTACCGTGCACATTGTAGCATTGGAGATGCTCTTAGCCTTTATGGTACGCAATACTGCACTTCTAACAGTAATGAATTTTGTCCATGTCATTGAGTGAGAAATTAGAAATATCACTGCTACTACGTGGATAACGTTTTCAGTTATCTTTTAACGCGTGTCATAATTTTTATAATGTTAAAAGTTTAGAATTGAACACACTCTTAGGAGCTTAAACTCATAGAATAGTAATACATGTACAATTCATTTAATACTTTCTTCATTTATTCCCACTGTAAATACTCCTTAAAAGAATAGTTGTATGAAATAGTTTAAAATCATCACTACAGATTGCTTTCTCTTTAAACTCTCATCTAATGCTTCTCGTATACCACTATTGGTATTCAATATTAGCCATGAATGTGTTTCTTATACTGTTACAAGATGAAATCTAAAGCATTTTAGGTATAAAAACACAATAACAATGTATGTAAAACGATGAATGTAAAATGTGCATAAAGTCTGGGTACTTAAATTTTGGGAGCCACTTGACGAACAATATACCTTATGAATGTGAAGAATTCATTCATGCAAAACGCATATTTTCGTGAGAAAAGAGAGAAAGAAGACTTATCTATTATTGATTCTCAATGAAGATATTACATCGAGTACCTAGCTAACAATACAAGAAAGATATAAATAGTAGTTTGACTTGTAACAAACTAACTATTCTAGAACTATCTAGTAAGATCTATTTTCCTCCAATCTTTATGTGTGCATGCATTGCTATTTCACCTTCAGCTGATATTTGTGCCACATGTTGATTGCTGTTGCTTGCTTTTGTGCGTGTACACCAACATGCCCCCCCCCCCCCAAGAGGAGAGTACAAATTTTGTACACTCATCTTGGATAACAAAGAGTGGAACAAAACACGGCCTAGGGGTTTAGTAAATAGGTCTGCAAGTTGGTTTTGTGTAGGAATGTAAAGTGTATGAATGACTTCTTTTTTAAACCATTCCCTAATGAAATGGCAATCAATTTCCACGTGTTTTGTTCTTTCGTGGTGAACAGGATTAGTTGTCAATGCTAAAGCTGATTTGTCATCACAAAAAATAGTGGCCTTGGTTATAGGAAGATGAAGTTCTTTGAAAAGTTGTAGCAAACTAAGAACTTCTGCAGCAATAGTAGCTAAAGCTCGATATTCATCAGCATCAACCGAACTCCTAGATATAGTTTGTTGTTTCTTTGATTTCCAGGAGATAAGAGAATCTCCTAAGAACATGCAGTATCGTGTGATGGATTTGCGTGTATCAACGGAACTTGCCCAATCTGAATATGAGAATCCCTTGAGGTGTAAGGTTGATTTGGATGAATAGAATAAACCTTGTCCTATAGAATGACCAAGCTTTTGCATGGTTTGAGCTAATGTGTTGACAACAAAACTAATATCAGGTCTTGTGATGGTTAAATAGAGAAGCTTCCCAACAAATGATTTATAGATAGAGGGACTGGTCAAGTAATGGTCATCATGACTTCTCAGTCTTAATTTGTTATCCATAGGGAATGAGACAGGTTTGCAGTTTTGATATCCAAAGTGTTGTAAAAGATCTGTGGTGTATTTGCGTTGGTATAAGTAAAGACTTGTAGAAAAGCGAGCTACTTCTAACCCCAGGAAAAAACTTAACAAAACCTGGATCTTTGATTTTGAAACTATCATCCAGGAACTGTTTGAGATGAGCAATTGGTTGAGTGTCAGAACAAGCAATTAAGATATCATCAACATAAGCCAAAAGGATTAATGTGAAGTTTTCTTTGTGTAGTGTGAAGAGGGAGTAGTCTACACGAGGCTGAACAAATCCACAGTTCTTCAGAGCAGAAGATAGCTTAGAGAACCACTGTTTACTAGCCTGTTTCAGTCCATATAAACTCTTAAGCAAACGGCATACTTTAGACTTGCATTTGTGCTCAAATCCTTGGGAAATAGTCATATATACCTCTTCATGCAAATCACCATGAAGGAAGGAATTATGAACATCCAATTGTTCTAAGAACCCACATTTAGATGCAACTAGAGCAAGTAGCAAAAGTGTCCAGAAAATCTAGGCTTTCCATTTGAGTGGATCCCTTTAATTTGCAATAAGACGTGATTTATACCTTTCTATAGTCCCATCAACATGGTATTTAACCGTATACACCCGTTTGCACTTGATATGAGTCTTTCTGGCAGGTAGATCAGTGATAATCTAGGTACAATTTGACTAAAGAGCAGAAATCTCATTCTGCATTGCTTGTCACCAATTTGGACCAGAAGAAGCTTATTTATATGTAGTGGGTTTAGTAATATGAGAAATAGCAACAGAGTAAGCTTGATGTGAAGGAGAGAATTTGTCAAAAGTAATATAATGATGTAAAGGATGAAAATATTTACCAAATTTAACCTTGGAGGATGGAGGAAGCACTGGTGAAGAGTTGTCTTGAGTGACTATACACATAATCCTTAAGATGGGAAGGTAATTTTCTACTTCTGGAAGTTCTAATTGGAAGAGATTGTTTGTGAGATGGATCGGCATCAAGAGTTAGATTGGTGGTGGTGAATCAGGAAGAGGATTGTTTGAAGAATGATTGTGAGGGTCAATGAAAGAGGATGTTGAAGGAGTTGTGGAATGTAGGGTATGAGGATTTGTGGGTTGTGATAAAGATTTTGAACTATGATGGTCTGGAACAAAGATAGGAAGAGTTGTGTTATTGTTATTGGAAGAAGAATGGGTGTGAGAGGGAAATACAGATTTATGGAAAACTACATCTCTTGATTTGAGTATTTGACATGTCTCAAGATCATATAGTTTGTATCCTTTGGTGTGAGGAAGATATCTAATGAAAATGCACTTTCTGGCTCTTGGCTAAAATTTGTGTTTGTGTCCAGAAAGATTAGATGCATAACATAATCACCCAAAGGATATGAGAGTAGAGTAGTCAGGGTTTTAATTATGAAAAACTTCATATGGTGTTCTATGTTTCAAAACAGGTGCATATATTCTTTTGATTATATGGGTTGCAGTCAATATACAATCACCTCAGAAAGGTAGTGGAAGATTAGCTTGAAATCTCAAAGCTCTAGCAATGTTCAAAAGGGTTTGATGTTTACGCTCAGGGACTCCATTTTGCTGTGGAGTATAAGGGCAGGTTGTTTGATGTATACTTTCTTAAGTAGAGTAAAACTCTGAAAGAAGGAATTATGATCCATTATCAATTCTAATGGCTTTTATCCATGTGGAATATTGTGTTAAAACAAACTTATGAAATGATATAAGGTGGTGTTGGGTTTCAGACTTGTTTTTCGTGAGATAACACCACAC